ATTTAGAATTTCAAATCAAACTCTGACATCCTCAAACTGTGTTATGGAATCCCATTTAGACCTAAAGTTGCTAGATGCTGCTGCTGCTAAAGAGGAGTACAGAGCTCTTGTTAGTGAGGGTAGCAAAAAAATTGTCATTACAGGCTGCAACATGAATTCAGCAGTTCAAATAATGGCAATGGTAATCACTGAGCACCATGTTTCCTGTTTGCAGTCATCTGGCATTCCTCTCCAAAGTCCAACAAACAACTGAGGATTTGCCCTTTGAAGACTCACATTTATTTTCAGAGAAAACAGATGAAGCTCTGCATTCTCTTAAAGATTCTAAGGCAACCCTAAAGTCTTTGGGCATTTATACTCTATGCTGTAAGAGAGAGCAATTCTAGTCTCAAGTCCAGCAGAGGTGTACCCATTTTATCCAGCAAGATAGCTGGACCAATTTAGGTGATGTCATAAGACTCAAAGGAGGAGATCTCTGCTACATCCAAACAATCTGTATTATGTAGCACTAAGCAGTCTATTTTGACTCCTTAGTCAAGGACATTGTACTGCTCTGATGTTCCCCTCCTTTTGGCTGCAAGTTGTTGCACATTCTAAGTAATTGATTGGACCCATATTACAACAGATGGATGGTTACTAAGCACTTTAAAACTATACCCACCACATCCCCAGTCTCTCTTCAGGAGCCATTCTCACTCTTATTCGAGAAGTTCAGTCTCTGTTTATAGTTAGGGGCCATAAGAGAGCTACTGCCTCAACATTGGGGGAAGGGATTCTATCATGTTTTCTCATTCCAAAGTTGAAGGGAGGCCTCACACCTATCACAGATTTGCAAAATCTCAACAGATACATTTAAAAAAAAATGTTTACTCTAGCATCTATTATCCCATCCCTAGGCCCCAGTGATTGGTTTGCTGCTCTCTAGTTAAAGAATGCCTACTTCCATGTGACCATTCACCAGAGCCACAGGAGGCTTTTACGGTTCATTGTAGCAGATGTTGATTATCACTTTATGGTCCTTCCTTCCCTTCAGCCTGTTGTCAGCACCTCAAGTCTTCACAAAGTGCATGACAGTGGTTGAGGCACATTTCAGAAAAGTGGGTGTCTTGGGGTACCCATTATCTGGACAAATGGTTGGTTTGAGGTCAATCCAGACAGCAAATGGAGATAGCCATAAAAAAAAAAATCCAATCTTTCTTTTGTTCTGTGGTCCTGTTGATCAATAAGGACAAGTCCATTCTTCTCACTGTGCAGAGAATCAAATTCATCAAAGTGTTTCTAAACACACTCTGGCTGTGATAGAATTTACCAGGTTTCAGACAATAGTAAACTTGTGCAAGGATTTCTAGACACATCCATGTACAACAGTGAGGAATTGCTTGAGCCTTCTAGGTCAGATGGCAGCTTGTATGTATGTGACTCAGCATAACAGACTTTGCCTCAAAGTCACGCAGAGGTGGCTGAAGTCGGTCCACTGTCCTTCTAGTGAGCCGCTGGACATGCGGACTCAGACCTGCAGATGTTTGTCATCCCTTGACTGGTGGATTAACCCTGCTAATTTATGCAGGGGAGTTCCCTTTTCCCCAAGTGTGCCCTCCCTCACCCTAGTCACAGATGCTTCATCTCTTGGATGTGGGGCTCAGTGAGAGGACTTTTCAGACTCAGGGACTCTGGTCAGGATCTCTCTCTCTCTCTCTCTCTCTCCCCCTTGTAAATGTTTGAGAGCTCTGAGCTATTTACCTGGCCTGTCAGGTATTTCTTCCACACATCAGAGGATATATGGTACAAGTACTTACGGACAACAGCACTATGTTCTATTTGAAAAAGCAGGGAGGTCCATATCAGACCCCCTTTACCAAGAGGCAGTGAGCCTTTGGACTTTCTGTTCAAGAACTCAATTATGCTCAAAAGCATCTAACCTCCTGGGGGTCCAAAACTGTATGGCAGACCACCTCATCAGAATGTTCAGCTGAGATCACGAATGGTCATTCAAACCTGACATGATATAGAATGCATTTTTCAGACTTGAGGAATGCCAGCAATAGACACCTTCGTCATCGAACAGAACAGGCAATGTCACCTTTTCTGGTCACAGCCTTTATCAGATGCCTTCCTACTGTCCGGGGGGAGGGGAGAACTTCCCCCCCTCGCCTGCTCCTCCATCCCCATGGTACCAAAGTATTGTGCAAAAACTGACAGGATCATGCCTTTCTAATTTTGATAGCACCTCCTGGTCTTGACAGCATTGGTTCTTGGACCCATTGAATCTCTCAGATTCATATCACATATCTGTCCCCCAGGTCTCAGACATAGTTTCATAGAACTATGGCCAGACACTATATCCAAACCCTCTCAGCCTACACTGTGGCTACTTGGATGCTCAGTAGGTAATTCCCCAGGAAGTTGTTTGTTCCTTTGGTGTTCAAAACATTCTCTTAAATATAGCGGGAAGCCTTCCACCAGGTATACGTACCTGAGGAAATGAAAGGTTTTCTGTGTAGTCCCAACGGAGAGCCTGTAAAGGAGAAGTGCCTCCCTTACAGTTTATTCTAGTTCACCTGCTTTACCTAATGGAAAAGGTCTCTGTCAGTTGTCTGAGAGTTCACTTGGCACCTGTCTCTGTATTCCATCCTCCTGTAGAAAAGGAAGATCTGGTGTTTTCCAACCCCCTATGGCTCTTAGATACCTGAAAGAATTACAGGCTTTTCCCTCCTATTAAGGGGCCCCACACCATCTTGGGATCAAAATTTGGTTGTGTCAGTATTAGTGGGCCCGCCTTTTGAGCTTATAGCTGTGTTCCTTTTTTCATTTCTCAATGAAGGTAGCATTCCTGGAGGCTGTTACTTCGGCCAGGAGAGTAACAGAACTTCAAACTTTGGTTGTTGGCCGTCCTTAAATGATGTTCTATACAGAAAAAGTTAATTTGTATCCACACCCTAAATTTCTCACTTAAGTGGTGTTGGATTTTCGTCGAATTCAGCCTACATACACTTACCAACTTTTTCCCCGAAACGTCACTCATAAAGATGAGGAAGAACTCTATACTTTGGATATCTGTAGGGCGTTAGCCTTTTATCTGGACAGAACTAGATATTTTAGTCGATCTTTGCAATTATTCATCCTTGGCTGACAGAATAAAGGGACAACTGGTTTCTTTGCAGATGAACTCCTTCTGGATCTCCTTCAGTATTCATCTGTGCTATGATATTGCTAAGGGCTTGTCTATATGAACATTCAGTTTGTGGCAAGCTGCGGTGTGAATCTACCTTGCACTAGCCTGCTGTGGACTAACTGTTCTTGTGGACCCTGCTGATTTGCATTAACAGTTCATCAATGCACTTTGATCAGTCCTGTTTCAAAGAGGTTTGCTGCATAACCATGCAGAATGCGCACATGCTGCCCCAAAATGCACCACTATGGGAGAAAGATCTCCTGCTTTGCCACACTAGTGTGCACATGTGAAGTGGAATGGACATGTGCAACACACCTCAAAGAACACCAGTTACTGAACAGGTTTGTAACGATTTTATCTTCTATAATAGCCCTTGTCTTCCCTTCAGTCTCCCAGTTTTTGTAAATTCACTCTTGCATTATGGATGTATGTAGTTTGTAATCTCTTCAGAGCAGGGACATTCTTCTTTGTGTCTGTCTGACAATCTAGCATGCTTATGGATGGTCAGCGAATAAATACAATAACCCAAATGTTCAACCAGTATCCTCACGTAATGTACTATTTCAGCAGTGTATTTTCTGTACTTAGGTATAGCAACAGAAATGGTACCAGTCTCCTCATGTCCATTATTACTTCACCCTCTGTTTAAGTTCTCCACAGTTGTTACACCATTCCAGACAGTATTTTGAAACTATATAAACTGACAGGTTTTCAGGGTATTTTGGTTAGGATTATAAAGTGCTCTGCTTTATCCATCTATGCTTACTACATCTTTTCCCCAGTTCCATTTACACAACAGTCACAAAGGCTATAGAAGTCACCGGCCCTGAAAAGGGAAGTGGCAAGGAAAAAGACATACGTTCCCCAATTCAGAAACATTTACTTACACAAAGCGGAGGAAAGGTACAATACCACAGAGGTACACAATACTGTGTGAAATCTGGATTTAATCTTATCTCTTGGAATACTGGCCTCAGTGAGAGTATAGTGTCTGGTATTAAATGTTTAATTTGTTAATGTAACTACTTAGGTAGACCATTCATTTAGCAATTTTATTGATCCTGTAGTAATTGCCTAAAACATGGCATCTTAATTACAGGACCATATTGATTAATTTTGGCATGCATATGCAGTATGTTGAATAAGAACTAGTTTTTCACTTATGGGTTCTGTTTTTCAAGTAAAACCTTAATTTTTCTGCTGTCAGGTTTTGAGATCTTATAACATTTGTACAAGAATAAATTAAAATTAGTGCTGCCTCACAAACAGCATTTGAGGAATCACTAAGGTGATGGCATAAATGGTACAAGGATGGAATTCTTCATTTGCAAGGCTTTTTTCATAGTTCAGTCTCCACATGACCACTCTTCAGGACATCTATAGAGGAATTTGATAAGTAGAATTGTGCAAAATAGTTCCAATGAATGACCTCAGAACTTCATTGTTTTGGATTTATCTAAAAGATTAGATTCCATAAGCCTGAAAAATGTTTTTCAGAAAGGTGAAATTTTTTGAGATTGGATGACTTTCATACGTTGTCCTGGCATCGCTTTTGAAATGTCAGCATTTTGTTCAGGTGAAAATAGTTTTTATTTAAATGTAAAAAGGTGGAGTTTTGCACACACCAAATCAAAATCAGCTCTTTGCAAAAAAGCTACACTTGAGTCTGCTGCTTTATCTCATCACTTTAAAATGTTATCTTTTTCAGGGTAAACAAAATATAGATCTGTTGGATTCAATATTTGTTTCAGCTTTGAAGAGTAGAACTATACTTTGAATTTCAGAGCACTAAAATGTACAGAGTCAATAACCATGTGTCTTTTTGCAGCAAAATGAAAAAGCGAACTTGCTAAAGGAGCGAGATCACATTTTGTCAACGTTGGGAGAGACAAAGCAGAATCTGACTGGACTTTGCCAGCAAGTATGTAAGGAAGCAGCATTGAGTCCTGAGCAAATACAGATACTTGCAAAGTATTCCACCTTGGATTGTCCACTTTCACTTTTAATTTCTGAAAGAGAACGAACGGCTCCTGACAGCAAGCCTGTGATCCCATTGTGTATAGAATTACCAAGTGGGCTTTCGGGTGCTGTATCGGCCAGTGAACAGAGTTCTTGCTATCCATGTGTAAGAGGCACATCTGATACCGCTTATAATGAAGTGCAGGAACTATGTCCAGTTTCTATGAAAACATCGGAGAAAACTTTACTTGTGGAACACTGTGGACAGGGTGGTGGCATCACAGATTTCTGTCAGCAGATGACTGACAAATGCACTACAGATGAATAAATCTGTTTTGTGATTGCCAACCTCAACCTTATGAGATTTAAAGTAAGGGTTTCAGCATTATTATAAAATGCCTTAAGTGAAGGGAAGGCAAAACTTTATATTTTGCAAGTGCATTAACTAGTATCTGTCCCTCTACATTACTCAGCAGACCTTTGGGTTTGTTTTATGTAATTTTGGGGCATAATTTTTTACGTCACTCTTAAGAAATGTGTCATCTCTAAAAGCTTGTATGAGAGCTCAGCCCTTTAGTGCAAACAAATGGGATTACTTCTAGTTGGATTAGAGAAACCAGCATCATGATGACTAGTGGAGTACTAGAACTACTTCCCTGATTTTGTGGCATCTCAACCCCAGATACTCTTTCAAAAATGTATTCTTGTTGTACAGTGACTTGCTAGCAGATGATCTTGTGCTTCCTTGTAAAATGTCTCATATGAGGGTCAGAAAACAAAGTATTTTGAAAGACTAAGACTACTTATAAATGTTACAATCATTGGGACCAGTGAAGATGTTTGAAAATAACTTTTAATCAGGATACCTTTATGGGTAAGCATAACTTTCAGTGCATTTTCAATGGCTTGTACTTTAATTCTAACCTTGTACAAAGTATAAAAAGAAAATGAGCCAGTTGGGTTTTGTTCATTACTTATTATGTAAAGAATAAACCCAATCTTTAAAATAAGACAAATGGGGGGAGGGGCGGGGGAAATAATCCCTGCTGTAGGGTTTTTTTTGCCTTGTGTTAGAGGCAAATTGTGTACAAATAATCCCTCATTGCTTAGCTGCTGTTCTGATACCAGACATTTTAAGTACCGAACCTCACAATAGAAAAAAATGCTTTGTTGGTTTACATAACAAAACATAGAAGAACCTTGTACAAGCCAATGGAATTCTTCATTTTCTACCTCAATGTACATTAATTTTTGTATCTTTGTGTGCATGTATGGAAGATCATCTTTTGCTCCAATTGCGACTGTAAATATTGGCTTTGCAGGTTTATCTTATTTTATGGTGAAACAGAATTTTTGCCTCCAGGATACTAAAACATAACTCTTTCTGATAAGGTGCTTGGTTTAAGCTCTCTCTATATAGGTAATTTAGCATTAATAAGATTTATATTATAAAAGTGTATTGTGAACCATTGGCCAAATATAAAAGAGTTGACAAATCTCAACAGTACTTCTAATAACCAGATGTAATACAAGTAAATACACTACCTCATATCCAAGTGATTTCAAGTTCATTCAGATCTACAGTGATATTTTTGTTTTTTCAGGACGAAGAATTTTTATTAACATTGCATAGCATTGTGATATATGCAAGCTTAAAATAACTGAACTTTAGAAAAAAGTACTACTCCAATACAACTTGATGTGGGTTCTACTGGTTGTGGGTATCTTTTCCCTTCAGATTATTGAGAGGAGACTTTTTTAAATGACTAACATTTATATATTGTGACTTTATAATGTATTTACTTATGAGGATCACATTATCTCTTCTCCAGCAACCCACTAGCCCTCTTATCCCAATGCCCCATGATTAGTCAGTTTTGCCACCACATTTTTCTACTTACATTAACAACTTAGGGCCCTTTAGGTAACATTCTAAAGTGGGTGATATTCTAAAATGGCATAATACAATGAATTGAGACTAAATCATGGGCTTGCAACTTCATAGTCACTTTTATCAATAGGAATTATATATATATTTTAAAGCCCTCTGGTTGGGCTATGTGGGGGTGGAGCATTCATAGAGAGGGGGCTGGCCAGGGTCTTGCGCATATCCAGTGGCCCAAAACACCAACTGTTGGGACTGGGGGTCAGCAGTGACTATTACTTAAGTCCTAAGGCTAGAAGAGCAGCCACAGAGGTGCTGTGCTACATTGCTGCCACCTGTACACAGATTGGTGTCTGAATTCTATCCCACAAACCCCCCAGGATTCCCAGTGCAAAACCAGCAGCTCTGGTTTTGTGTGCAGTATGGTGAAATTCATCCTGTGTGCTTAAACTTAAACATTTTCTAATACCAGCCTGGTTTGAAAAGTTTGAGGTAGTTTATTGCCTAACCAGCTGCATCTAAATACATTTTTGATTATTTAATACAATAGACCTACAGGTTGCATGTGGACTTCTATAGGCTACATCATCAACTTGCTAAAGTTAAGAATGAATGGCAATTTTATGATATAGGATTCTCAGGTAAATATTGTTTGTTTCAGTTAAGAGATACTCGATTTTGAACTTGTAAAAATACTTTAAGGCATGTTTTAAAATACCTTTTAAATCTGTTGGGCAAGATATCGTAAAGCCTTATAATTAAAATGGAATACAGAGTGTAAAAAGGTGAAATAATTACAACTGATTTTGTATCTTTCATAATCCAATATTTTCTAAAAATACAATAAAAGCCACTGTCCTTTCTAAAAAGGCTTTTCTTTTTTTATGTACATCTCTTGCAGTGTGAAACTAATATTTACTGATACATTATTCATTTATTTAGTACTACCAAAATTGATCTCTGGAAACAGTAGCAACATTATTTATACAGTTTACAAACTCCTCAATAATATTCACAATAGCAAATATTACTGAATTGGAATAAAGTTCCCAAAAGTTTTTGAAATTCATTGTGTCCTGTGTTTTGAGGGTTTCCTGTGGACTTTTTTAAATAACTTATGAATTTTGCTATTTGTTGGGGGTAGAGGGAGGAAAAAATACACTACTATCCTTAACATGTTGAAGAAATTCATTGTTTTTTTCATTGTCTAAGATAAGACTTTTTTTCTTAAAGGCAATTTGGGTGTACTTAATAGTCTATTCATTAGGTCACCGGGCTAACTATGCTGTTCTTGGAAAAACCCTAATAAATTGGATGTACCTATGAAATTCCTAGTTCAACGGAGTCAGTGTTCTTTAAAATTATAATATTGAGTCCTGTTAGACATCTGAAACTGTTTGAACACAGTTGGAGGAAACAGACTTTCAGTGAGAGAGTACTTTTATCCTCACCACATCTGGAGGTTCTAAACCAATTTCAGATGACCTGAGGCTCCGCTAACTGTCAAGCCATTTACAGGAATGAGAGCCATTACTTAAACAAGTTTGAACAGTGGAATATAAGTTTACACTCACACTTCAAAATGTAAGTAAGAATTCTTCTTCGAGTGCTTGCTCATGTCTATTCCATTTTAGGTGTGAGCGCACCCAGGTGTACAGCCGTCGGAGATTTTTGCTTTAGTGATATCCACAGGGTCAGGTGTGGCACCCCCTTGAGGGCCATGCCCATGTACTGGTATATAGGTGCCACCAACCCTGCGCCCTCTCAGTTCATTCTTACTGCCCGTGACGGTTGGTTGGAGCGCCTTGTCTTACAATCGCAAGAGCATTAGCGGTTCTTAAATAGCCCATTGTCTGTTTTCTTTATATATAGTTTAGCCTTTAAGTTAAGCGTTAGGTAGGTGGTAGTTAGAGTCTTGCCTGGGCCTTCACCCCGGAGTGGGGCATGCCTTGCTCTCCCGGTGTCAAACCATGCTTGTCCTGCAACAGGCCAATGCCTATTAGTGACCCACATGACAGTTTTCTGAAGGGCTTGAGGGAGTCCCATAGGAAGGACAAGTGCAGAAATCTATAAGAACTTCCGCCCTAAAACCCAAAAGGAGTGGGATATCCCCTTGAGGGCTTTCCTTATGGAGGCTGTGCTTCATCCTGCGTCGGAGCCATCGTGCTCAGATCCCATGCCGAGCACCTTGGCATCGATGCGGAGCACACCGCTGGCACCGGGCTCCACCTGGCACCGTTCCCCCTCACTGGTGCCAAAGAAGCAGCAAAAGAAGAGGAGCCCCCTGGTACCAGAAGGAAAAGGGGCCTCTGGCAAAGGACCTATGTCAGGCCCTGTGCCCACCCTGGGGCTTCCCTGAGGTCAGACCCCCCCAGCCCGGCCAGGGATCCGCCTCCAACTCCCAGGAACAGCAGGAGACCCCAGCTTCTCCTAGGGCCTTCATTGCCCAAAGCAGGCCAACCGACACCGCGCCAGATGCCGGATTTGGCTAAGGCCCCAATGCCTAAGGGCAAGCTGGTCATCGGACGACCTCATAGGGCAGTGGAGCACCCTCAGTCCCTGGACCGCAGGTGTAGATCCCGGTCTCCTTGGCCTGGGACCCCGGCACCACATTCATTCCTGGTCTCGGATCAGAAGACCGAGGTCCCCGACGCTGCGCTGTCCCACCACAAGACATGGGACACTAGAGTAGAGACACCTGTCCCCGTACCACTGGTCCCAGCGAGCTTCTTATCAAAGACTGCCACCGTGCAAGTCACCCTCGTCCAGATGGTGTCTCAGACATCGGTCCCCACCGGGGCAGGATCGGTCCCAGACGTGGCACCGGTCTCCATCCCCCAGGTTTTTCTCGGCATGCACTGTTCTTTGCCTTGCCAGTTGCTGACCAGGGTCAGTCGGCAGACTCAGGCCTCAATGACTCCGACCTGGTCACCGGAAGGGCAATGGTTGGACTTGGACCGGGAGTTCAGCCCCTCGCCAAGGAGGGGTGATTTGCTGCTGACCTGCGAAGCTGGCGTGGCGCTTGCAGCATGGCAGCAGGGACTGTGGCTTGCTCAATGCTGTATTGGAACCCGTGGGGCGAGCCTGCAATGCCGGTCCTGTATTTCCACCAGTTCTCCCTGGCCGCTTCGGACCAGCCACCACCTGCACCGGAGTTAGAACATGGTACCAAATCCAATGCTGAGCACCTAAGGAGCGGACCCTGGAGAAGGAAGGAGAACCCATCCCTCCCCTAGCGGTGAGGTCATTGTCGTCATCAGTGTCTCCGGAATGAAGCAGTGGTGGGTCCCTCCCAAATGGGCAGCTCTCCCGACAACTTCAAGGAGCACCAGACCCTCCTTACGAGGATGGCTACCAACTTAAAAAGTAAGGAGTTTGCAATGGAATCCGATGATCTCTTTAACATTGTCTTCCTCCGGCCTGGATCATGCTGCTCCTCCAGCAAGGGGTGCTTAAAATTGCCAAATCACTGTGGCAAACCCCTCTTTGATTCTGCCTACTACTTTTCCGCCTTCATAGAAGTATTACGTCCATGTAAAAGGGTTAGAATATCTGTATACACATCCTCCAGCAGCGTCACTGGTTGTGTCCGCTGTTCATGAAAGGGAGAGGCAGGGCCAAGTCAGTGGCACCCTGAAAAACAGACTCCAAGAGACTGGACTTGTTTGGCAGAAAGATTTATTCCCCGGCCAGCCTGCAATTTCGGGTGTCTAACCAACA